AAAAACCCTGATTCCAAACCAATGGTGCATATGGGCTCCAGGATCCTAAGGGTACAAGTGGTGTATGGACCTATTGTTAATCACCGACTACCATGGGACTGCATCTCCTAATGTTGCCCCACTGCCTTGAGGATTAATCCTGTAGGTCAAAGGCTCGAGGAGCGGACCCTTAAAGAAACTATCTGCTTTGCTTTTGGCTCCCGGGAAGTATTTCAGACTTAGTAAAAATCGAGTGATCTGTTTGTCGGATATATATACTTGAGGCCACCTTGTACCAATGTTTATAAACTTTCAGTTGATAGGCTATGGGGTTTATTTGTTCCTCAAAAGGTACCAGTAGGATTCGATGGATGAGTTCGAGTAAGAAAATCGTCTCCAAGTTTACCTCATGACAATGAAACCTTGTGATGACAAACAAAACTTGAAATGCAAACGCCCAAATTCATATTATTTAAACGAGTTGACTTTTTTTAAAGAGATTTCAGTCAAGAAATTAATCGGACTGTTAATAGAGAAACGCGAGATTTAAAATTCTCAGGTGCATGATATATTGTACTCGTTTCGAAAGAAAAATTCGAGAAATGTAGGATTCTCCAAATTTCTGTTTTGTTTTCAGTTACTATTAAGATATTCAGTCAGTCAGTGAGCTACAACATAAGACCAGTCCAACTTGCCATACCTCATTAGTACAACAAGATGAACACCAAATTCATAAAGTAGTTACGTCAACGGTAGTAGTATATAAAAGATTGCATATAAGGATATAGTACAGGAAGAAAGGATTAGTTGGTAGAAGGAAAGATATAAAGCAATTTTAACCTCATAGTTTAAGGGAAGACACAGAGTGTATACACCTACGTCATTGTGACCGATTCTGAGCCATGTCACCCAGTCTGCAATCATTGGTTACGATAGTCACGCGAACCCCAACCAAGTAGTCTGCATCTACCAACATGGCTAAGACTAGAAGTTAGTGACTTCAAGCACTGATGCCACGTTTTAGTTTGGCCGCCCCTAACTTCCTTCCAACCATCCCCAACACTAGTCAGTATTACTCGTCGTGGTAATCAGTGTTCAGGCATACGTAACACGTGGCCCGACCATCTCAGTCGATGAAGATTTACAACCTCATCAACTGATTTACCATCGTTCCCTAATACCCTGCATGTAACCTCACTATCTCTTACCCGGTGATCCCAGCAGATGCGAGCAATATTTCTAAGACAACTGTGATCGAATACTAGTAACTTACAAGTATCCTTAACGGCCAAGTTTCCCAGCCGTGAAGTATACTCATCTCTTAATTGACCGGTGGAGATATCGCCTTCTCCATAGATGATGTAAGTTGGCAAAGGCCAAACGAATCCATGCAGAGATTCCGTCAGACACCAAGCCATTAGGGTTGATCAGACTTCAAAAATAAGTGGAGTTGTCAATGCGTTCAACCACTTCACTCCCTACCCTTAGTTCACATGTTGACACAGACCAGTCCTGGAGCAACAACGTGCATTTAGAGGTAGGTTATCACTTTCCGGTTGCCCGAACCGTGGAAGGGTTCTTCTAGAGGTACCTGCAAAGGAAATCGGGTTGGAGTTGATCTTAGTTATTTGAGATCGTGACCGCAGTGCCCAAGGGACAACGGTTTGACCTTATTGTGGTTAATTTTCGTGTTACCTCTGTACTTGTTGAGACCTTATCGCCGGAGACGGATATCCGTGAGATAAGGCGACGTGTGCATTTTTAGGGTTGACCTTTCCTAACCCCATTCCTCCTTGTGGGAAGGCAGCATCGCTGTTATGCTGATTGTATGAAGGAAACACCTTTCTGCTGTCACACTTCTGTACAGTCGGCAGTACGACTTCGCTTTCAGACCTTACGTTTGATGCTTTTAGTCTTACCGATCTGTTTGGTATGGTAGGACCTTGAGGAACGATTGTTCCAGCCAGTATAGCCCGATTAGTTCATCACGATAGGCAAGCCTGGTCACCACGTCAAGGTAGCAGCAACGGTCCGCAATGCCGTAGTATTCACATTGGTGGCACAAAATTGGAGATAATGGACAGCCACGCCGGACACTAGTTGAGGCTGCAAAATCAGATGATAGTTCGCCATAAGCTCTGACTCGACTATTAGTGTTCGAGTAGAGAGCCTTCACATGGTTTATTTAATTCTGAGATACACCTTTCAATGACAGACACTGCCACAGAACCTCTCGGTCTACAGAGTCAAATGCTGCTTTTAGGTCAAGAAAACTATCACTGTCGGATGCCGATAAGCATTTCTGTGTTCTAAAATTTGGCCAATAGTGAATATGTGGTCGATGCGGCCACGACCAGGTGTGAAGACAGTCTGATATTCTCGTGTTTGCAGTTCGCGAGTCTTAGTTAGGCGTCCGATAATTATTGAGGCTAGTATTTTAGATGCCATGTTAGTCAAACTAATCCCTCTATGGTCATCACAAGATGATTTTGACCCATTCTTATGTATTGGGACAATCAGTGGTCGTGACCAATCAGATGGGATTACGTCCGACTCCCAGATCTTAGCTAAAATATTGATCAACCTGATCGCTAAAATTGGACCATCATTCTTAAGGACCTCTGGAGCCAATCCATCTGCTCTTCCTCGTTTAAGGTTAGCTATAGCCTTTTAAACTTCAACTAGTCTGGGGACCTACTTCAATGTTCCATTCAAGTTGTCTGGAAATGGTGGGTAGTTGTAAAGTAGCTGGAGGCCAGCTGAACTGCTTCTAAAAATGTTCCGCCTATCGTTCTAAACGTCTGGACTGGCAGCAGATAAGAGTGTCGTCTTTTCCGAGATAGTCTCACTTGCAATTGACATGTTAATCTCAGTTTCTTTTATTAGTCTGTAGAGCTGTCTTGTATTGCCTACAGCCGCCGCCTTTTCCATCTATTTTGCTTTCGTTGCCCACCACCGCTGACGGTCGTTCTTTAGACTGTTGGTTAACCAAGATCTGATCTGCTTTCGCTCTTCATCGTGTTCAGAGCCTGACGGGATGAGTTTACGAGAACCCATCAGTGCAATAGACTTTGAAGAAATCAATCGGTGTTTTGTAACCCTTTGGTTTAAATCACTGATAGATGCCACTGCTGTTTCCACAGTTGTTTGTACATTTTTCCAAGCAACATCTGAGTCCGTCCCGTTTCCTGGAATCTACTTTTTGCTTTCTTGCCACTCGTATTCGTTCTTTTCACTAAATTTGTATCAGTTTGAAGTGCCACACTTTGCCCCCTTTATATTTTCTAGGAATTTAATACTTTCATTTTAGAATGCCAGGTTAAAGTAATAGAAAATAAGTGCGGGAAGATCCCTACTCTCTTCAGTTCATAGAAATTTTTAATTTGATCAACAACTTACTTTGTCTAAATACTTAGGGATAAGCTCAGCAATCAGCTGAGAACACGCTGGAGTCATTTCTGACGGCTTAAGAAGAACACTATTCCCTGTAGCGATTGCACCAATTAGAGGCTGAAATGATAAAATGAAGGGGAAGTTCCAAGGGCTTATTATTAAAACCACACCGTATGGCTGCTTTTGAATAGTTACTGTATCCATTAACGTGATGAATGACGACGGGACCTGTACAATTAATTACCCTTATAACATTTGATACATTACCGACTCCTCTTTCAACCATGAGTCGATATTAGAGAGCATCGTTTTTGCTTCACCTACTGAAGTGTCTATATCCGTAAAGAAAGCTTCAGTTCGACACTATTTGATGATACTATTTCAAAGTATTTTACCCTGCGAAGATCTTTCTCTAGTGCTTTGACAATGTCTTCCTCGTTTTCCAAGAACAACTGAATAATATTTCGGATGGCGCATTTACGTGATTCTAAGGTGTTCAAAACGCCTTCAGTGATTCCTTTGCGTAAAACAGACACGACCTATATGGTTAAAAGATAACAAGTGGACAACAAACTTTTTCGATATCTTTCGACATTTGATGAGATAACAGTAATAACTAAGCCTGATATTCCTAAAATGTCTGAGTTGGTTGACTCCAGTTCAGTCTAGATGGTTGATGGAGATAATAGACAACAGAAGGGCAACGCTTCAGGGGTATCGTCCACTGACGTGGGTTGCGAGCACTTGAAGGTCAAACTGTCTCAAGATGATTGGTGCGTCACATCGACAACTCGTGAAGTTTTTTAGAGGCTATTGGGTATCTTTGCAAGAATACCGGCAGCCTGAACATTGGAACTCTGTTCAAGAGGAGAGTGGTATTTTTCCTCGCTGAGTAAATTCTGTTGTTTTGATCGTTTATACGTATCAAAACTACTGTTTACACTTTAATTGAGTTTATTTCAGTTAAAGTATTCGATTAGAGTATCGTTTTTGTTTCCAAAGTAGTTTGTTGTCAGTACTGTGCGCGTGTCCAAAAAGGGTAGTGATTTTGTACTTGTTGTGATTATCCTTGCTTTTGTGTAATTGTTGCATCAAAAGCATTCTTGGTCTATATCAAAGTGTTTTTAGTTAAGGTTCTAAATCTTGCTAAGATTTGTCTTGTGAAACCCTCTTCCTCATTGACTGACACTAGTGTTCATATTGTGTTATACACCTTTATCTGACTAAAATGGTTGGTAGTACTCACAAATGTGGACAACCACGTTGTTTGTTCCCTGTGGACGAAGGAATGCAGTGTGATGAATGCAAAAGCTGGTTCCATAAGATGTGCACTCGTTTAAGTCCCACTGCGTACAAAAGATGTTCAAAGCCTAACTCACACTGGCTTTGCATGTTTTGTTGTGCAAATAAGACGTTACTAATACAAGAGGCTATGAGCCTACTGGCTTTGGCTTGTAAGAAAAACGATAGGGCATGCACTGATAACATGAGCACTGACAGTGACGAATGTGTCAGTGTAGTAGTACCTGCTGTTACAAGACGCCTCAAACACCCCAATTTGATTGACGGGAAAGTGAAATCTCCTTTAATATTACCGAGGGAAGAAGCACCACCTGAAACTAACATCAGTAACCAGGTGCCTCTAGTGGACACTGAAGATCTGAATAAGACCGTCACTGTTCCAAATAGTCCCGGTGTACTGAAGGATGAAAAATGGACTACAGTACGGAATAAACGAAGTGAAAAGAAAAAGGCTGTGGGCAATGCGCAGGTAGTTAGCAAGTCATTGGTGAACTCCCATTGTGAGTCACAAAACGTACTACCGAAATCTGATAGAAAGAGGGAAAACCACCCAGGTGTGACTGAAAAAAAGAATCTGATATCATCGAATATTATTGTTAGCAAATTACTGGAGTCAAACGACCCTGACCCCAAAATTAGACATGCGCATGATTTAGAGAAGTTGGGAGATTATATTCGTAGTATCTTACCGGATAACTCTAAAGGAGTCCAGGTCAAAAAGCTGGTAAGAATAGGCAAGAGGACCGAAAACAATGCTGAACCTCGTCCATGTAGACTCCTTAAGGTAATCCTAGGATCAGAGACGCAACGGGACCTCCTGTTAAGTAATGCTCGTTGTCACGACAATTCTGATATCCGAGTTAGACCTGATATGTCTCTCGAAGACAGAATAAAAAGAAAGAAAGCACTAGCTGAACTAGAAATCCGCCAACAAAATGGTGAGAAAAATCTCCGGTTAGTGGGTTTTCGGATAGTCAAGTCTTGGAAGCGAATGCTACCAAGGCCTGTATGGATAGGCCGTTCTACCTAGGAGTCTTATATGCCAATGCTCGTAGTCTAAGAAATAAGTTCTATGAGCTAGGAGCATTAGTGGACAGATTAAGGCCACTCATCGTAGCAGTGACAGAAACTTGGTTAGTCCATAACTTCGACATTACTCCAGAACTATCGGGATACCATTACCTAAGGAGTGATAGACATAGTTGTAGAAAAGGAGGTGGTGTCCTGTTATATATATCCAATAGTATAAATATACGCTCCTTTGTTAGCGAATCCCATGACAGCGGTACTTGTGAAGTTATTAGCTGTAAATTGGATATCGGATGTAGTACGTTTATGCTCGGTGTCATCTATCGCAGCCCAATCTGTTTAGCCGATGACTTTATTCTAGAGCACATTCATCTTTGGAGTACCAATACCAGGTGCTTGATAATAGGAGACTTTAATGCACCTAACATTAGTTGGGCTGAAATGACCACAGAAGGATCTATAAACTCCTTTGAAAATAGGTTCCTGATAACAATAATGGAGCATGCATTAGTGCAGCATGTATCCAAACCTACACGTTTTGGTGCTAACCAAGGTTCTTCTCTGTTGGACTTGGTAATCACTCATGATACTGAAGATATTGTCGACCTAAATGTTCTCCCACCGTTAGCGAACAGTGATCACGCTGTTTTGTCCTTCTCGTTTAGAACTAGGGACATGTTATACGATCAGGTCACACCCCGCCCAAATATATGGAAAGCTAACATATCAGCCATTCAGGAATGCGCTGCTAAGACAGATTGGTTTGTAGATACTAGCTTATCAGTTGAAGAAGCATGGTCTGTATTCAAAGGTAAGTTTAGTTTAGTTACGTCCTCGTTCATACCATACCTGATACCGCGAAGACCGAATAATAGTCCACCATGGATAACCAAACCAGTTAAGAAACTTCTTAGAAGAAGGAAGAAGCACTGGAATATGTTCATCTCTACGGGCTTAGAACAATACCGATCCAGTTATTGTAAGACTAGGAATGCCTGTAAAGCTTTAATAAGTAAGACTAGACGATCATACGAAAAGCAATTGGTTAGGGATTCTAAATATAGTTCGAAACGGTTATTCTCGTATATAAAAAGACGAACTCAGAGAAGTGATGGAATTCCATCACTTTTGATACAAGAAAATCCGTTAATCTTGGCAGAGAATGATACAGAAAAAGCTGAAGCTTTATCGAAATATTTCAGTAAAGTGTTTTCTATCACTAATGAGGAACGACCAACGATTCATTATGACCGTAACGGCTCGCTGATGGATCCTGTGGTCATTGAGAAAGGTACTGTTTTAAGGCTACTTCAGCATATCAAACCTGATAAGTCTAGTGGTCCTGATAATATTCATCCTAGGATTATGAAAGCCATATCAGACGTAATTGCTGAACCATTGGCGATACTGTTTGACATGTCTCTGAAGCAGTCCAAACTGCCCAGAGACTGGAAAGACGCTATAATAAGTCCGGTGTACAAGGCTGGGAGTAGGGACTTAGTTAGTAACTATAGACCCGTTAGCTTAACGAGTGCAGTTGTAAAACTGATGGAAAAAATCATTCGGATATCTGTTATAAACTATGTTGAAAGGCATAATCTTTTCTCCAGAGAACAACATGGTTTTCGGAGAGGCCTATCGTGCTTGACAAATCTTCTCATCGCAAGAGAAGATTGGGCTGCTGCAAAAGATCAGAGTATTCCTGTAGATGTGATCTTCATAGACCTTAGTAAGGCTTTCGATAAGGTCTCTCACTCTGGTCTTAGACTAAAACTGGAACTCTTCGGAATCCATTATACAGTCGTAGATTGGATAAGTAACTTTCTCCATGACAGGAGACAAAGGGTAAGGGTAAATGGGACTCTTTCCTCGTGGGTGCCTGTGAAAAGTGGAGTTCCCCAAGGTACCATCCTCGGTCCTCTTCTCTTTTTACTTTATGTAAATGAATTACCAACTGTAGCAAAATCATCCATTCTACTATTCGCTGATGACATAAAAATTTGGAGACCCATACACAGTATGTCAGATAGAATAGTATTACAGAATGATCTTAGCTCATTGGTGGCATGGTTAGATAGGTGGTCACTTGAAGTTAATCCAAATAAGAGCGTGGTGATGCAATTAAATGACAATGATGAATCGTATCACTATAAAATACGTGGATTCGTACTACCCAAAGTAAGAAACTACAAAGATTTGGGAGTCATATTAAGTAGTGATCTCAAAACCACTAGTCACTGTAAGGCTGCTGCTGCAAAAGGCTATAGAATATTATGGTCTATTCGTAGGTCTTTTCAGTATTTAGATGACGAAATGTTTAGACTACTATACCCGATTTATGTGAGACCACATTTAGAATATGGAATTCAAGCAGCAAGTCCTTGTTTCAAGTACGAAGCAGATATGCTAGAGCGAGTCCAACGACGAGGTACTAAGATGGTACAAGGTCTATCTGGACTATCTTATGAAGACAGATTGAGACACCTCAACCTATTTCCTTTATCTTACCGTCGAATTCGGGGTGATCTAATAATGGCTTATCGTATACTGAACGATGACCTTGGTATTAACATGTCTTATCTTTTACTTCCGTCTAGGACTGATCGTTTGAGAGGACACTCAAAAAAAATTCAAAAACCGAGATCAAATCGTTTACGTCTGGAGTTTCGTTTCTCTCATCGAGTAGTGAATTATTGGAATTCTCTACCGGAACACGTAATATCAGCACCTTCTGTTGATATATTCAAGACGAGATTGGACCTCCACAGTATTACAAACTGCAAGGATTAATACAGGTCGATAGACCTCCTATCCTTATTACTGAAGACTGAAGACTGAAGACTGAACTCTAAGCTAATTAGCTTTATAAAGCAATCTTAGCTTACTGGTAAAATCTCTACATAATTGTACCTCTCTCGCATGATTATGATTTATTTCCTGCAATATAATGATTTGGTAGCTTATATATCTAACTGTAGAAGGTGATATTAACATATTGGTATGTGTTATAACCATCTACAGCATATACATAATATTTACAACACTAAGAACAGCTAAAATTTTCACTATTAGCCTATGTCTGCCATAAAAGTCGAACAAAACAGTGAAAATCAGCCAAAATTGTAATAGAGAAGGGAAAAACGATAAATGTTATCATGGTATCGTTAGTTGTAGCGCAGTTTTGGTAGCCTTGACGACAATACAATTTTTATGACAATATATGCTTAGATAATATCATTTCATATAAAAATACACGATTTCTCTGCTCTGTTTGTATAGTTAAGTAGAAATAATTGCCAGTCTGCTATTCAAATATGAAAAAAGTATTATAGCAGCACCTGATTAATGAATTTTCAAGGACTTCGCGATACCATGTAACGCAAAATGAAAAAACCCCTTTTCACTTAATTATGAAGACGGAAAATGACTTTTCAAATTTAATTATAATAAATTTCATATTTTGGTTGTGCACAAAGCAGAAATGAAGAAGTAGCGCAAAAAAGTGTCGCGATACCCCTGGAGCGCTGCCCAACAGAAGGCAGCTCTCAATTCAAACAACCTCTTTCTCGTTTCCGCGACCCTGTGCGAAGGCGGTCATTTCACATTTGTCTTCAGCCTTTATATTTAAAGTGCCTGAGGTCAGTGGTGTGTTTGTAGGCTAGCTTGACATAGCACTATATGCACCTATAGGAGACCTCTATACTTCAGAAAACGCCCAATGAGATATAGCTATCTGTATCTTTAAATTGTCCAAATGGTTGTGGACGGATTTGTATAGTAAGGACAGAAGGCCTATGGCCTATGCTATTCCATTTCTAGTATGCTTCTGTGAGTGTCCAGTCTTCTCTTGAAAGAGTCGATTGAAGGTGCGGACACCACTGCTTTGGGCAGCAGGTTCCAAGTATCGATGATTCGATGTGAAAACCTGTATGCCACGGGTATTTTGTTCGTTCTTGGCTTTTCTACTCGCCTGCTATGTCCTCTGAGATGTCCCGATCTAGTGGGAAGAAAAAGAGAGAGTAAGTTAGGTCCAAAATCATTTCTCAGTATTCTGTATATCAAAATTAGATCTCCCCTTAATCTGCGATAGGACAAAGTGAAGAGGTCCAGCTTTTCAAGCCCCTCTTTGTACGGTAAACCCCGGAGTTCTTGCAGTTCATGGTCAGCTGCCCTCTTTACTTATCTAGGATATTTGAGTCATCTTTTAAACAGGGTCTTGCAGCTTGAACGCAGTTCTCAAGCTTAGTTCACTCTAAGGATGTGTATACTTTGGTGGACATGGTAGTATCTAACACACTTTGCCGCGTTTATAGGCATCAGCTACTCTTTAGACCAGTTAATCGTATTATTTAAGTCTGCCTGAAGAGCAAATGAGTCCGCGTCTCCAGTTATTACTCGCCAGATCTTTACATAATCAGCGTATAACAACATTGGAGACTGTACTATACTTGGAAGATCATTAACATACATTATAAAAAGTAAAGGACCTAGGACTGAACCTTGCGGTACTCCGCTAAATACTGGTCTCCAGATGGAGCACTTGAAATTTATTCCTACTTTCTGACTACGACCTACTAGGAAATCCTTAATCCATTTTAAAAGAGGTCTAGCAATACCAAGGTTTTCCAACTTCAATAGCAGTCTATTAGTTGGCATCTTGTCAAAAGCCTTACTGAAGTCTGTGTAGACAACATCCACTGAGTTTCCGTTGTCTAGCGCTTTTATTCGGAAATCCGTTGCTATAAGGAGGTTCGTTGAACAAGATAGACGCTTTCTAGAACCATGTTGTCCTATGTTTAACAAGTTATTGGGTTCCATAAATCCCATGATGGTCCGTTTGACTATTCTTTCCAATATTTTAACTACAACACTGGTGAGGCTCACAGATCTGTAGTTCGGCGAAACTTGTCTTGGTCCTGTTTTATGTATGGGAGTGACGATTGCGTCTTTCCAGTCCATAGGTAACACACGTTGGTCAAGTGACATATTTAATATATTGCGCAATATGTCTCAAGATTTTGGGGTGTAGTTCATCTGGTCCTGTTGACTCTTCCATGTTTAAGATGCTAAGAGCCTTAAGCACATCGTTTTGATAGAAGCACACGGTGAGCAGGTGGTTTGTTGACTCTTTAGTTTGGTCCGGTTGTTTGTCTAGAGGAGGTTCCTGAGTGAAAACTTCCCCAAAATAGTCAGTCATCGCCTCTGCTTTTTCCTGATCTTCCTCTATCATTTCAGATTCACTCCCTTCTTTAATTAGGTTGGGAATCCAATGATGCATACTTGTTCTGCAGTTTATGTACGACAATATTCTCATGGGCTGCTTGAGTGCAGATTGTTCCGACTGCATTTCATATTTTCTTTGAGCTACTCGAATTTTTGTTATACACTTGTTTCTTGCCGATCTGTTGCGTTCCATCGTACCTGAAAAGAGTCCATGCCTCCTGTACTGATACCTTTGAGTCAATTTCCCAGTTTTCATCCGATACTGTTGCGGCAAATAAATCCCCAATATCAATAACTCTGCAAGTCTTCGACATTTGACGCTGACCGCACTAGTTTTAATGAACTCACCTAACTGAAGGCACTCAGTCACGCATCATCACCAGATCACGAATGGGTATGAAGTGCTTCACAACCATATAATAACTTAATTATTATACCAGTGCATGACGATAGTATCTTCATGAGATGGCTTATTATCTCAAATATGTTGAGCGTCATTTTAGATACAAATACTCACACCAATAACGACATGATGAACCTAGTGGAAAGTATTCGTGGTGGTTCAAATAGTCGCTATATTCAAATGGCATAGAGATTACTTAGTGAAGCACATGTACAAGCCAGGTTAATATGTATATTTATGAAGAATATAACAATTTAAAAAAACTTAGGAAAAAATATTTCAAAGGTTGAGACATGATTTGTAGAACTATAGTTGGGGATATGACGGGTTATAATATGAAGGTTGTTGTAGTTAGCCTGGTAAATTCATGACTATATCGCAATGATGATTAGAACTAGGAAGTATCAGAGTAATGTCAAATCTAATTAGGTTTTCCGGAAAACGAAACACCCATAGTATTATGTCACCTAAAGTCATTAAATATATCCTATACCGAAAACGTTTTCGGAGTGATTTATATAAAATATACACAACTAGTCTACGTGAAAAAATACATATGTTAAAAAACACTAGGAACGTAATAAATCATTCAACCCGACTGTGTCATTTTCAAAAATTCCATTACTCTAAAGATTTGACGTATAAAAGGCTAACTGTGACAAATGGTATAGATCCTAACGAAACCAGAATTAACACGAAGCATTGAAAATAATTTCCGAGTTCGTGATGCTATTGATTCCGTCACTCGATTGGTCCCGTACAAATCCCAAAAGTACAAATAAAAAACGTGGTTCTCACCGTATGGACAATCCGAAATAAGTTTAAGATTTCAAAAACTCTATAGCTTCAACTCAGCGTAAGTTTCCAGAAGATTGTTCTTGCTGTTTGCCGGTGAAACTCGTAAACTGGAAATCAGACAGTCGGTAGTCGAAAAGGTGCTAAGAGGTAACCCGTGATTTAGAATAGAGTAAAATATTAAGTGCAGAAGCAAATGGAGAAGTGGACTTAATTATCCATCCAGTCCTTGCTTACATTAATTGCCAGCCTATTTAGATGTACGTCGATTAAGCGTCACATTGACTGGTCGATGATGTTTTAATAAACCGGGATCTCAGACTACATGGAGAGGATAGTATTATATCACCAGTGGAAGATGACTACGACAAAGCTCAGGTGCTCTAGGACTTCTTTAGCGTTATATACACCATAGAGACTCCCTCCTCTCAGATAAAAGCTGGTCCCTTCATCCCTACTGGACATTTTGATTACTGGGGTGATTGATGTCTTTGATCTGCTACACAAACTGGACGTTCAAAAATCTACGTTACGCAACGACATGCGGATGGAGTTACTAAAAGGAATCTCAGATTTTATCACACAACCGAAAGTAGACTACGAAGCGACTGAAGGAACGTCATAGGAAGTTACGGCTTAAAAACAGGTACGAGACATCAAGTTGAGAACGATTGTATCGTAAGCTTAACTGAGGAAACTGTTAATATTCTATGAAAAATTATTCGCAAGTGATTTATGTATCTAGAAAAAGACCTGATTCATTTTTAAAAGCAACTAGGTTTAGGAACAGGTTATTTGAGCTTTAAAGCCTTATCGGCGGTTCCGGAATTCTGGCGTACTCTTGAAGGCCAAAAGCTACTTGTCAGTCTTACTTTATTCACCTCGCGTAAGACTTTGATGAAGTCACACATAACAGAATGTTTTCTAAGTTACGTGACATTGAGATAAGTGGCAACCTATTTAAGTGAATAAATGGTTTTCTAACTGGATGTCGGCGAAGAGTACGTGTCAACTGCAGGCAATTTGGCCAGAAAATGTGTCACACGGTATATTTTGAGGACCGCTGTTATTCCTCTGACACGTAAATGACCTTTCTAGTCCCCTATTATCGTTGGTATTGTTATATGTTGACTGTGTCAAGATATGGAGAGCGATAAGATGTGGGATTGATAGTCTAGATCATTAGAAAAACATACAGAAGAAACTGAGGTGGTCGAGATAATGTTAGTGGTCGATAAGTGCGTCGAGTTACAATATGACTCATACTGACCACCTGGGTTCGAATGGACACACGGCAAATAGTGTGCTTGCGAAGCCCTTTATTTTGTGGATCATTTAGATCGGACGGTGTTCGTCGAAGGGCTTTCCACTTTAGTGGCTTGCGGTCTGACTCCAAGTAGATCGTTTGAATGTTTGTTATCACCTATCCTCGTATATAATCATCGGCTTGAATCGCGTTAGTCAATAACGGAATTAAATAAGTCAAATAACGAGAATGGACTTTTGAATACATATATTTTGTGTATGAAGCGAATGGAATAAAAGAAGAGAAACAACGCGCAGTGAAAATGGCGGGTAAGCCAACTCCCCCTTTTACTAAACTTTAAACAATATTTGTAGTTACACAAAAATAAGTTACGGACATGTGATGAGTAATGGGATAAGAAGTGTGCACACACAAATGTGCTCATATAAAGTCAGTCAAGGTTGATAAGTGAATAATTAACATGGTCAAATTATGACTCAACTAGAATGAATAGAAAGGGCTGTCCGAAAGCTAGAATAAGATATATGGGCCTAACTTAATAACAGACACTAGATAGCCTCCTTGTAGAAAATAGCACATTCGGAACAAATTTCTGTTTTCGAAAATAACACTGAAGTGATGTGTGGTTAACGCTAACAATAAGCAGCGAAAAATATTGTACAACACCCGATGAAACACAGTATCACATCGGGGGTGAGTGTATTATACGAAAGTGTCATGTTTATGTAAAAGAATACATGGATATCGTAAAGGCGCAGACAAAATGAAAATGTTAGCATGCGAATATAAGCTAATTCATAAGCGTACAAAAATTTAACATGCACTTATGTTGTGACTGCCTGAACGATAAAATAACACGTTTGTATGAGCGATTCAAAATATCGTGAAAACAGTAATAAATCGTCTGTGGGTATGACAGCAAAATAAATCGTGAAAATGAGTAGAGTAGAATATGACAGCAATTGGTCTGTAATGCTGACAGAATAGTGAATATGAACATGTTCTGATGAGCCGCAGTAGAGGAAGTAGCGCCGAGTAGCGATGAGTGGTTTCGAACGTAAATTATGTTTTTATTATCTTGATTAGACAGTTATAGACTTTATAACCACTTTAGGCATGTTTATCATAAATCCCTGGAATCTTAAAATCATATATGATTTTCCGTCAGTCAGTGAGCTACAACATAAGACCAGGCACACATATGCATCAGTCCAAGTTGCCATACCTCATTAGCACAACAAGATGAACACCAAATTCATAAAGTAGTTACGTCAACGGTAGTAGTATATAAAAGATTGCATATAAGGATATAGTACAGGAAGAAAGGATTAGTTGGTAGAAGGAAAGATATAAAGCAATTTTAACCTCATAGTTTAAGGTAAGACAGAGAGAGAATCCTGTTGCCAGGAACAACACGGACCATAGAGTTTCCTGTTCTTTGAAAACCGAAACTATGTCTGGGATTGAAAGTATTCAATTGTTGCTAGTTTAATATATCTAAAAGTAAATCCGAACTTATGACAAGAGTCAGGTGACATCAGAAATATTGTATTCATATCAGGATATTCACGTATGACTAATCATGGTGACTCTGGTAGGCACGAACTACCAATATTTTTGGCCGGTATATTACAAACCTGTTGATGCGAGAGCGAATGAAACGAGAACGAGGTGCAATTTAAGCTAAATGTGTAGTTATTGAACAATAACCAATGCAACGTAGGAAACACTGCAGAAGAAAATGCAATATGACCTAAACAACATATCATGGTCAATGAAATTGTTTTAAAAAATAAATGAAATCATGAGAACTTCAAATACTAACTGAAAGACCATTTACAAATTAAGTTTTAATTAATGACACGGTATTGAATATTTGAGAGAACAGTTTTTAAGCAACTTACGCCACTATGTATGTTAGTGAGTTTTTTTTGGATTTGCTAAGTAGATTTATTTTAAAGTCTTTAGGGTTGCTATCGCTAAGAATTTATCACGCGTTCAGTCTAGTTGTACTGCTGTGGTATAAGTAAGGTTTCAAGAAGACTATTATTTGCGGGCCTGGTCTTGGTGTATGATGTATATCATAGTAGCTAGTTTGAGTAGTAAAGTACCTTATTATCCACGTAATCGTATTTAGCTCAAAAACATCCTGGTCAGAACATATGAAGAGTTGAATGAGTAGCTTTGTTAATTTCGATAGAATGGGACGCTGGGGATACGAACATATCTTGTATTGAAGTTTGATCTAAACCCTGTTTTTCTACAAGAGCAAAAACTAATTTGGAAGAACATGTTGACGTGTGTAATGCCAGATAAGGTAGATATAGCAATATTACTTCATCATTATCATTACTTCATCATCATTACTTCACCATTTTATTACTTCATCATTACATAGTCTCACGACTGTTTCTGAAAATTCCATTCCATTCCTTTAAGTACTTCTGTCGAGTTCAATCTGTCAATAACTGACTAGATAGATCTCCCTACTGCTTACAAAGTTATTTTTCCTCCGCTTCATGAAACTGAGTAGTTTTTAGGTAAAAGATAAGAATTCGGTGGGCAATTATTTTTCGAAAATATCAATTGTGGTTGAACAGTGGATGGAATGCTTCTGCATCTTCATATGAGGGGTCACTGATGTGGTGTATATACTACATAACTTCACGGGCAGGCCTATCAGGTAGATTACTGGAGGCGAACTTGGATAAATTTTGTTTCTTCTGAAGCTAGAAGACTGATAGTTTATATTTTCTTCATGAGGTTATGACTTGGAACGTTTCCAATCATTCTGGTTTCGGGAATTTAGGTTTCCGTTCCATCACATGAGGGATTTTATTTGCGGCTAGTGGTTGGAGTTAGGACGCTATCGTTTTTCTTGTCCATCGGTTTGTAAATCATTTGGTTAGCACACCCGGTCTAGCGGTACTGATTTATTTAGCTTCTTATCACACCATTATGTTCATCTTGTAAGATACCAAAGTGTTTGAACCTATTTAAGCACTCAGAGTTAACAAGGGTGTTCTATAGTCGGAAAAAATCAAAGATGGGCTCGTTTTCTCGGAAGTTAGGTGTTTCTCTTCCCGAAGTCGTATTAGGTTATATGGTCCCTTAAAACAGAGATAAGTCCGTCAATATGATTTCTTTAGTGTTTGGACCGCGATCACTATGTAGGTGATAAACAGTATATTACTATATGGGCTCCTGTTCATACCGAGACAGTATATAAAACCCACTAATTTTTATGTTTATTACTGTTACTGACACTAATACTTCTATTATCATAGTATTCAGTCAGTGAGCTACAACATAAGACCAGGCACACATATGCATCAGTCCAAGTCGCCATACCTCATTAGCACAACATGATGAACACCAAATTCATAAAGTAGTTACGTCAACGGTAGTAGTATATAAAAGATTGCATATAAGGATATAGTACAGGAAGAAAGGATTAGTTGGTAGAAGGAAAGATATAAAGCAATTTTAACCTCATAGTTTAAGGGAAGACACAGAGTGTATACACCTACGTCATTGTGACCGATTCTGAGCCATGTCACCCAGTCTGCAATCATTGGTTACGATAGTCACGCGAACCCCAACCAAGTAGTCTGCATCTACCAACATGGCTAAGACTAGAAGTTAGTGACTTCAAGCACTGATGCCACGTTTTAGTTTGGCCGCCCCTAACTTCCTTCCAACCATCCCCAACACTAGTCAGTATTACTCGTCGTGGTAATCAGTGTTCAGGCATACGTAACACGTGGCCCGACCATCTCAGTCGATGAAGATTTACAACCTCATCAACTGATTTACCATCGTTCCCTAATACCCTGCATGTAACCTCACTATCTCTTACCCGGTGATCCCAGCAGATGCGAGCAATATTTCTAAGACAACTGTGATCGAATACTAGTAACTTACAAGTATCCTTAACGGCCAAGTTTCCCAGCCGTGAAGTATACTCATCTCTTAATTGACCGGTGGAGATATCGCCTTCTCCATAGATGATGTAAGTTGGCAAAGGCCAAACGAATCCATGCAGAGATTCCGTCAGACACCAAGCCATTAGGGTTGATCAGACTTCAAAAATAAGTGGAGTTGTCAATGCGTTCAACCACTTCACTCCCTACCCTTAGTTCACATGTTGACACAGACCAGTCCTGGAGCAACAACGTGCATTTAGAGGTAGGTTATCACTTTCCGGTTGCCCGAACCGTGGAAGGGTTCTTCTAGAGGTACCTGCAAAGGAAATCGGGTTGGAGTTGATCTTAGTTATTTGAGATCGTGACCGCAGTGCCCAAGGGACAACGGTTTGACCTTATTGTGGTTAATTTTCGTGTTACCTCTGTACTTGTTGAGACCTTATCGCCGGAGACGGATATCCGTGAGATAAGGCGACGTGTGCATTTTTAGGGTTGACCTTTCCTAACCCCATTCCTCCTTGTGGGAAGGCAGCATCGCTGTTATGCTGATTGTATGAAGGAAACACCTTTCTGCTGTCACACTTCTGTACAGTCGGCAGTACGACTTCGCTTTCAGACCTTACGTTTGATGCTTTTAGTCTTACCGATCTGTTTGGTATGGTAGGACCTTGAGGAACGATTGTTCCAGCCAGTATAGCCCGATTAGTTCATCACGATAGGCAAGCCTGGTCACCACGTCAAGGTAGCAGCAACGGTCCGCAATGCCGTAGTATTCACATTGGTTGTTTCATCTCATCTTGTCGGTGTGGTGTGGCGCCTTGGACCGACGGAAATATGTATCAGGTCTCACATTGTTTGCAATTGACTGATATTTTTGTGGTTGGTTATTATGTTTTTCAAACTACTGCATTATTTTTTCTATGAAAAAGCTGCTGAAGAACTAAAATATGTGCGTTTTATTTGAACTGATTGTTGATCTTTGGTATGGTGTATGTATACTATTTGCAAGATTAATAGACTAAAGTTTTGCTTCCTCCTAACTAGATGGATTTTAAGTAATTTAATATACTAGGTTCAACGAAAACGAGAAGTAGACATATTCATGGTAACATATTCTAAATGTCTTCCGGTGATTAGCATTTTGGCGACGGTGTTTTGAATATTGCCAGATCTGCTGATCTGGTTGCAATCACCAATTCTAATCAGCCGCATTGGCTACACATGTTCATATGTTTGCTCATCAAGCCTCCTTACCGGAGTGGTCGGTTTGTATACGATGGTACCCAAAACAGTTCGTTTTTAGCTCATTCACCAAGTACGAGTCATACTCATTGTGAGGGTTTATGGTACTACGCGGTTGCCCAAACTGAAGTAGGTGGAGCAGATTTCAAACCAGGAACTTATAAGTGGAAAGTCGAGCCCTTGGATCACGAAGCCACCTCGCAAAACAGTTTTATGTTATTAATAAAAGTAGTAGCAAGTACTGAGACGTTATAAACTCATTTTCTCTTATATTTGTATCTGTCCTAGTATACCAGTTAATATTCACATTCAAGTATTCATCTGCAAAAAATTTGAAGAGATTTATTCGACAATCGCTTTGATATCAACCATGCATCAGCTTGCTTTCAGGTGTACCTGTTTTTAAATGCCATCAAGAATACGTAACTGAATAGTCTATACATACTCGGTTCTAAAGTTGGATCTTTAAGTACATATCTGATACTAAACAGGTTTGATATTTATTTCAGCAGTTAACGTTGTACTAAGTTGTAGATAGATTCATTATGAAAGTAACCTCCAACAGAAGTTTGGAAAAGGCTAATGAATATCTTCGGCATTAGACAGACTAGTGGTTGGATGAAGACCCATATTTGCAGTCTTCAAACATAAGGAGAAAGCTTGTTGACCAAATTTCTACAATGACCACTAGCGATACTTATTTTTAGGCATTGTCAGTCTTTGAACTACATAAAATATTCTTTTCCAGAAGCTTGGTACTTTAACTAGTGTTATCTCCCGTATAATTCACTACGTGATAATGTTGGGTGCTCCGATGTGAACTCGAAAATATAGTTTTAGAAGGTAAAGGGATATTATCGTAGTTTCATTCGCAAGTGTGATATCCTGAATTGTTAAATATACCGTACAAATTAAAGTTGTTTACATTTATGGAGAGTTGGATCTGAAATCGTCCCTACTACCTGTTTGGTGTAATACTGTCTTAAGCAATATGTACATAAATTTGATGGGTGTGTTATAAAATTGCTATTCAGCTAGTTTCACGTTACTTACTTACTTACTTACGCCTGTTACTCCTCGTGAAGGAGCATAGGCCGCTCACCAGCATTCTCCATCCAACCCTGTCCTGGGCAATCCTTTCAAGCTCTTTCCAGTTCTTATTCATCTTTTTCATATCCGCTTCTATTTCCCGACGTAATGTGTTCTTTGGCCTTCCTCTTTTCCGCTTCCCTTCAGGATTCCAAGTTAGCGCTTGTCTCGTAATGCAGTTTGATGATTTCCTCAATATACCGAATAAGAAATCTGTTGCGCAAACAATAATGTATCATAATTGAATGATTAGTCATGATTGTAAGACTATTTATATCGAAATTTCTGGAAGTCCCTTTAGCAAACTAAACCTTCAAATTATTTAGTGTCGTATCATGTTATTCTTACCAGATAATTTTGCTACAACGATTCATAAGTACAATTGATGCTAGTGTTATTAAACCGTAATTATGGGACATATTACTGAGTCTTTTTTTGCTGTACGACTAGTGTGAAAGTAGCACAATCTGGCATTACTAAATATATCTTGCTGCTCCCAAAAACAATTTTTACATCTCAACTCAATATACTGTTCAAGCCAATTGGTGTCCAAAATTATTTAACTCTGACTTAATAGTTTAGATATTCAGCTAACAGATTATTGTTCAGATCCTACATCATTCTGATTTGGTAAGTAAAGTAACTGCCCTTCAAT